GGGAGAGGGAGAAGCAGGCTTCCCGCAGAGCAGGGAACCCGATGCGGGGCTCGATCCCAGGACCCTGGGATCATGACCTGAGCTGAAGGCAGACGCTTAACGACTGAGCCACCCAGGCGCCCCTAAAGATTTTTATTTTATTTATTTGACAGAGAGAGAGAACCTGAGAGAGGGAACACAAGCAGGGGGAGTGGGAGAGGGAGAAGCAGGCCTCCCGCCAAGCAGGGAGCCCAATGCGGGACTCGATCCCAGGACCCCGGGATCATGACCCAAGCCGAAGGCAGATGCCCAACGACTGAGCCACCCAGACGCCCCCCTGATCTGAATTTAGAACAATAAAAGTGTCCTTGTAAGATCTTTTGTAAGAAACTCTCTTGTAAATATTTGAACTTTTGAAGTTTAAAGTTATTTCTTGTGGAAGTAACTGTTAATTGTAAAGCTTTGCATGCTAATTAGTAAATTATAATTACATCTAGATACCAACTATCTGCTAACTGGCATCTATAATTCCTAAGGGTGTGTAAAGTTAGGATTCTTTTGTTTGGCAAAAGTCTTTATCCCATTAAAGTTCTCTCTTTGGACAAAAGAAAATTAATCAGTGTCTCAATATAGTCTATGTATGTGCATGGTGAAGTGCCCAACTTGTGCAGATATGTACCTGCTGATAAATAAAATTTTTGAGGCTTGGCATTGTAAAAAGGTGATTTTTCTCTTCCGACACTTGATTGATAGTTTGATTTGGCATAGAATTGCAGATTGAAAATCCCTAGAATTTTGAAATATTGCACCATTAACCTCAAAATTCCAGTGTGGTTTTCCAAATTCCTTTTTCTCTGTTAATTATAGTCTCCATTTTTCATGTTGGAGACTTTAATCATGTGGTAATCCTTGGCTCTGTCCTTTCAGCTTTAAGAAAGATGCACTAAGGGGCGCCTGTATGGCTCAGTTGGTTAAGCAACTGCCTTCAGCTCAAGGCAGCATCCCAGAGTCCTGGGATCGAGCCCTGAGTCGGGCTCCCTGCTGAGCAGGGCAGTCTGCTTCTCCCGTTTCCTCTCCCCTTGCTCGTGCTCTCTCTCTCGCTCACTGTCTTTCAAATAAATAAATGAAATCTTTAAAAAGAAAAAGAGATACACTAAAAAGTTAATTGATGGAATATGCATTTGTAAAATTGCATCAAGCTTTAGGTTCTTTACTGGTCATAAGTTCTACTTAAACAAAACAGAAAAGGAAAATAAAGCTACTTGGAATTTCTGTGTATGTGGTCAGGGTTTGACGGGTTGTCTGCTGGTGTAGAGTGATGTGATGGAGGAGTAGTTTAGCTTTGTCACTGTCTCTTTGTTCTTTTGTTCTTTTGCAATTCACCTTCTCCAGAGAGGGCACCTCCATTCTCTCGCCTTGGTGGTTAAAGCTGGGCTGCCGGCAGTCTGAGTCAAGTGGGGAAGGCGGCTGGGGAGTCTCACTTGTCAGTGTGTACATCTTCATGTACTCAGTTGTTTGAGTGTGCACTCCTGCTGTCACTAAGACTGGGATCTGGGACTCTGTAGCCTCTCTGGTTCACACTCTCTGGTTGAGGCTCGGCGTCCCCCGCCACTGTGGTATATGTGTGTCGTCTTCCTTGGCCCTCCCGGCTCTCTGGAGCGCCCTGGCTTGCTTTGTACTGCTGTCCTCCTCTGCACGCACTTTGGCTGCAGGTTTCTCACTGTGTTGAATCAATTGCCCCCTTCTCCGTAGGTCCTTACATACAGTGGGTTTTGTGCTTATAGTATTTCTCCGTTTCACCAGCGATGGAATTTAGCTTTCTCTTTCTTGTTCCCTTGGTCATTTAGAGATGAATCTCAAGAGGAGAGGGAGGCAGAAATTTCACTCTGTCATCTTAAAACCAGAATCTCCATTTCTTTTAAGTCCAAAAATATGTTCAGCTTTACTATGATTAAGCTATTCAGTGAACTATCTTCCAAGTGACTTCATGTGTTGGGCATCATGCCTTCAACAAACGGCTCTGACTTGAAGCTCCTAGAGGTCAAGGATCACGTCCTAGGCATCTTGACATCCCTAGCTCCTAGTAAGTTTTCATCGCACTGAAAATGCAGTAAAGGGGCGCCTGCCTGGCTCAGTCGGTGGAGCGCACAACTCTTGATCTCAGGGTCGTGAGTTTGAGCCCTACGTTGGGTGTAGAGATTACTTAAATAAAATCATATTTAAAAAAAAAAAAGAAATGAAAACACACTAAAAGTGATAGAGGCAGACTGCCAGATAAGCATAAATACAGAACATTTGTTTTTATCGGCATTATGTATAAATGAAGATTTTTAGAGAGTGCTATTAAAGTGGAGGATGCTGCTTTTTTGGCAAAATTGAGTGAGTGTGAAAACACAATTTCTTCACCTGGTTCCTATTTAACAACTTTATAGATAACATAAAATCTTAGGAATGTTATAGTAACAACACCTCATTTATTTTTTTGAACAGGCCAGCAGATACATAGAGAACGTTCTAAAACCTCACCAGGAAATGAAGTTGAGAAAACTGGAAGAACGCTTTTATCAGATGACGGGTGAAACCTGGAAGTTGAGCAATGGTCATAAACTTGGGGTTAGAAAATATTTTCACTTTATATTTTGAATTCTGCTATTACATATATGCAATAGATGTATATTACATGCATTGGATAAGGACGTATAATGTATAAGTATATCACATATATTGATTTTTTAAATTTTCAAATGATGTTAAGCCATTAGTACGGGCAGTTTTTTAGGAGTCTTTACTGACATAGAGCATATATGTGTGTTGAAGGGTAAATGCTTTTGGTGCCTAAAGAGCATATACCTTAGATGCTTGAGAAGCTCTAACATACGGTAGTCTTTGAGAAAACTGTTGACTAATCACCATATTTTATATGAGGAAATTCAGATCTTTTCTTAAGTAAGATCTCCCCGGTACTGTAAGCTCACATTATACTCATTATGTTTGACTCTGTTTCTGTAAAGCCAAATTAACCTTTGGCTCTTTTTTCCTTTGGCATTGAATCTGAACTTCATCATTTGCTACTGGAAGTTCACAATTCCAAGTTTTGTTACAGAGGAAAAAGGATATTCATAAAGGAATTAAGTTTTAGAGTAATTGGCCACAGATTTTATGTATAAGATCATTTCTGTCCCAAACATTTTTGGGGTTGTTTTTTTGCTCTCTGTTTATATTGCACCTTTTACCATCTTGTAAAGAAAATAATCCCGTAAAGGTTAATAGGATTCTTATAGTGAAGCAGAATCAGTTTTTATTCATTTCATAATGGTAAATATGCCATAAAGCAATCAAGGTTGGGTAATGAAATTACTGTGAAAGATGTGCAACGTGAAATGCACCTGCTCTGGGGAGTCATTTCACTTCTGAGATGAGTTTGTCTTCTGTTCGGTTTGGTGGTGTTGGACATAGACAGCCGGGTTTTAGCCAGCCACATCTTTTTCTGAAATGGTCACAATGTGAATTAGTCATTCTGCCCCTTGCTTTTAGGCTGTGTCTTCATGGCAATACTAGTTTATATTTTAACCTAGTTGGTGGGGACAACAATAAGTCAAGGACAGAGCAGACTGTTGGCGTTGTTATGATTTAAGGCCCATAGGACTATCAAGAATGTGAGAATCGGGATGTTAATTGCTGAGAGAAAGTGTAGGCATCAGCTGATGGAGTCCAGTACTTTGCAGTCAGACAGCCTAAGTTTGGCCAGTTAATTGGTGAGCATGAAGGTCTCCTGACTCCCATTGCCCTTGCTCCTTCCAAATTTTCTTAGGACAAAGGAACGGGGAAGACAGCCTATGAAAATGGTGGCCATTTTCATCTGATGAGGAGAACATTTACAAGTCAGTAGATGTGGAAAAAAGGCATTATTGAACTAAATAAGCATGTTTCTGAGAATCTGACACTTAATTATTTTGCACAGGAAAAGGTTTTAATGGGTAATATTAATAAAAAGTAATCTTTATGATTTCTGGAATAAAATCCTTTGCCTTCTAAAGTGATTAACTCAAAGAAAGATGAGAGTTTGAATTTGAGAACTTAAACATGTTCATATATAAAAGGATTCTAGGGCCGCGTTCAGCTATGAAAGTATCACATGGTCACATATACAGACATGTTTGTACGTACATCTTCTATTTCCATGGCCTTTTGAGGCATAATCCCTTGCACTGTCTTGCTTCCTTTATTTTTTTTAAAAGATTTTATTTATTTATTTGACAGAGAGAGGCATAGCGAGAGAGGGAACACAAGCAGGGAGGAGTGGGAGAGGGAGAAGCAGGCCTCCCACAGAGCAGGGAGCCCAATGCAGGGCTCGATCCCAGGACCCTGGGATCATGACCTGAGCCGAAGGCAGATGCTAAATGACTGAGCCACCCAGGTGCCCCTGTCTTGCTTACTTTAAAGAAAGGAGAAAAGGATATCATTCAGGTTTTCTTCTTTCTTCCATCCTAACTGATCCTGGGGATCAGTTAAAATGGAACGATCCCTCTCAGCCTTGTATCTATCAGAGGGAGCCCCAGAGCTGGATATAGGGTAGTTTCTACAAGATGTTAGCTCCATGTTTTCTTGTCTAAGGAGATAATACTTTAAATTTCTGGGCCTAATAATGACTAAATTATTATTTTTTTTATTTTTTAGTAAGCTCCATGCCCAACGTGGGGCTTGAACTCACGACCCTGAGATTGAGTCACATGTTCTACTGACTGAGCCAGCCAGGCACCCCAACTAAATTCTGTTTTTTATTGAAATGCCATCAGGGTAAAAGAAATAACCACTGTGATAGAATAAAGTTGGTAATAGCATTTAGAAATTGTCTGTTGTTTTTGACCAGGGTGACGAGGATTTGGCGCTTGAAAATGAGAGTCAGACATCTTTTAAAACATCAAACAGAGAAGCAGCAAAGAGACGAAACTTGCCTAAGCCTTTAAGCAAAATTTCACCATCTGCTGAGCAGCCCACGCAGAAGGAGGTTCATTTCTAAATGCCTACTCATGTAATTGTATCAGTTTGTGGTAGGAATATTGCTCTCTGGACCAGGTGGTATACTGAGTGAAGATTAGGACTGGCTTTTAATATAGATGGTATCTTCCCACTGCCTTACGAAGGGGTCAGCTTCATTGAGAATCACTTCTCGTATTTGGTATTAATGTTCTGAACGCCACATAGAAGGAAGCTATGAAAAAAATGCTAATAGGTTTTGAAAATACTCGGTTCTTTTTGAGGAAGGAATTCAATTATGTAGAAATGAAAAATATAATGTTTATTAACGGAAACATTCCTACAGGTAGCTAAGATATTATTAACCCATATTTAGTGAGTGTCAGTTTTTCTCAGTGGCCTTGCTAGGAAATGGGTTAGCAACCATTCACTTTGGAACAGTGCTCAGATTTATTATTCCTTCTGTTCTTTCAAATCTTCAATCCCAAGTTGACTCTCATTTGGAGGTGGCAAAGGTTGGAAATAGGTCTCTTTGCACTAACTCTGAGGGAAAGCTGAGAGGCTGTATTTTCCCTGAGAATAGTTTCTAATGTGTTGCTTCTCTGTCTGAAGTTTCTTGGTCCCTTAATGGGGCTTGAAGGTGGCAATCAGGTCACTGAACTATTTCTAGCATTTTAAAAAGATCTAATGAACTATATGGACTAATTTAAAATTCAGGATTCTTTACCTTTTGTTAATAACAAGAGTCGTCTCGGGCGCCTGGGTGGCTCAGTTGGTTAAGTGACTGCCTTCAGTTCAGGTCATGATCCTGGAGTCCCTGGATAGAGTCCCGCATCGGGCTCCCTGCTCGGCAGGGAGTCCGCTTCTCCCTCTGACCCTCCCCCTTCTCGTGCTCTCTTTCTCTCTCTCTCTCTCACACTCTCTCAAATAAATAAATAAAATCTTAAAAAAAAAAAAAGAAGTACTTATCTGGGGCCACCGGGGTGGCTCAGTCGGTTAAGCATCTGTCTTTGGCTCAGGTCATGAGCCCAGGGTCCCGGGATCGAGTCCCGCATCGGGCTCCCCGCTGAGCGGGGAATCTGCTTCTCCCTCTGACCCTCCTCCCTCTCATGCTCTCTGTCTCTCTCTCATTGTCTCTCTCGCAAATAAATAAAATCTTAAAAAAAAAAAAAAATAACAAGAGTCGTCTCAAGTTGATGGTAAATTTTGGTTGACCGTCACCTATGCTTTTGATACCAAAGGAAAACACATGGTTTATCTTTATTTATTTATTTATTTATTTTTAAAGATTTTATTTATTTATTTGAGACAGAGAATGAGACAGAGCATGAGAGGGTCAGAGGGAGAAGCAGACTCCCCGCCGAGCAGGGAGCCCGATGCGGGACTCGATCCAGGGACTCCAGGATCATGACCTGAGCCTAAGGTAGTCGCTTAACCAACTGAGCCACCCAGGCGCCCCAGATGGTTTATTTGATAAGATGCAATTAATGTTGGTTAGATAAAATGCTATAAAACATGAGTCTGTGGTATTAAAAAACAAAAAGCATCCCTGAAGGTGAAATTGTTGGCAACAGTGTTTAGTGAGAGAAAATGGTCTGAACACCTGGTTTTGTGATGGATAAATCGAAATAGGGAAACCAGAGAAAATCATGAAGGCAACCAAAGTGAATGGTGGTTATCTAGTCCCCTAGAAGTGCCAATGAAGGAAAATACGCACTTAAAATGTGTGTGTGTGTACATACATATATATATGAACCTAAATAATTTTGGGGTCTATTGAACTTAATATTTATCCTCGGTTTCTTTAAATAATATATTTTATATAGTATCTTGGAATATCATAAAAATAAGATTCTTACATGAGCATAGATGGGTAGCTGTCACCTCACCTCCTGTTATTATCATCTGTTTAGCACAAAGTTGCTTCCCCAAAAATGTTTATTAATTGAGCTCTTTCATATTATAAATTTTTTATAAATGTCTGTTAAAAGATTTCATTAAGCTTAGATATGCCTAAACTCTATATTAAAAGGAACCCTTCTCGCTGAGATTGTTACTTTTTTTCTTCTTCAAAATGTTTACCTTCCTCTTACAAATCCTCATTTATCTTTAGGTTCTTAGTCTCCCTGAAGAACCTCCTGAAACAGCTGAAGAAGTAAGCTTATTTTTTTCCTTTGGAAATTAAATGTATTTTCTGTTTTCTTTAACATCAAGTGAGTACATCTTCTCTTGGTTTGGGTTTAGAAAGAGAAGAGAGCACTGTAATTAGGTCTGTTTTGAATGTGGTGTAATCTCAAACCCCTTAGCTCTAGTCCTGTTTTGGAGCTGGCTCTCTGTCCCCTGAGGTGGGCGGGGGGGAGGATGTTTAGAGCCCTCCCACTTCATCGGACAGAGAAACGATTACGTGGGCTTTTCCAAACTTGAGGTCAGCAAAGGAGTTAGTTATTTTTTTAAAGATTTTATTTATTTATTTGACAGAGAGAGTGAGAGCGCATGAGCACAGTAGGCAGACAGAGGGAGAGGGAGAAGCAGGCTTCCCGCTGACCAAGGAGCCCGATGTGGGGCTCGATCCCAGCACCCCGAGATCACAACCTGAGCCGAAGGCAGGTGCTTAACCGACTGAGCCACCCAGGCGCCCCAGGAACTACTTATGAAAACAGAATCAGTATAGGCAGATGACTTCAAATTGTAGTTTTCCTCCTAAAATAGAGGAGCTGAAGAATGCAGCTACTGTGTAGATGTTTGAGTTGAAAGATGGTTTGGGGTTTTGGGGTGCGGGGTCCGACGGAACCTCCACTCCGTGCTGAGCTGCCCTCTGCCCGGCTGCGCGTCAGTTGGTTAAGCGACTGTCCTTCAGGCAAAAGAAAGCCCTGATGCTTTTCCCCGTCTAGGGCTCAGCAACTGTTAGACTCCTTGAAAACCGGTTTTGAGGCCGCCAGGACAGCCCCTGGCAGGGTCTCATTTGTATCAACACATTCGCAAACATTTCAGTTGAGGACGTAGGATGTCTGAGGAAAATCCAAAAGTCACAGAGACAATGAAGGGTGCAATCCTGACACAGAACCTCCAGGAGAAACACAAAAAAAGAAAAACAACTTCTAATTCCTGTTATACCCAACAAATTCAAGTCTGTGATAATGTCCATCCTGACCCCCACACCCCACATTCTCACTTCTCATCAAGCGCGGGGTTGGTATCCACGACAACCGTTTATCATACAGAAGTAATTAAATATAGCTCCGGTTTGACAGGGAACACCTTTTATGAATTTACTCTGGCTTCAAAACACATGACCTCATTGCTACAGGACAGACTGGGTAGAGCTTTCACTCTGTATGTATGTGTATGTGGTAGCTGTGATTATGATAAGGAGCCATGAGAAAATTCTCGTTCCAGCCGAAGCCTGCTTGCCTGTCGGAGCGGACGAATAGATGAGCCAACTAATGACTCCGTGCATTTCTGATAGGAGAGGGAGGGACTCCATGCATAATTAATGCAGTTCTTACATAAGCAGTACACTTTGATTCTTCTAGTGCCTGTTATGTATTTAGTATTACAACCATCCATAGAGTTCTAAATAACACGGTAAGAATTTAAAAATGAGAGGGAGGGGCGCCTGGGTGGTTCAGTCGGTTAAGCGTCTGCCTTCGGCTCAGGTCATGATCCCAGGGTCCCAGGATCCAGCACCAGTTTGGGCTCTCTGCTCAGCGGGGAGTCTGCTTCTCCTTCTCTCGCTCCCCCTTGCTCGTACTCGTTTTCTCTTGCCCTCTCGCAAAAATAAATAAAATATTTTTTAAAAGGGTTTCCTGACAGTTATTATTTAATAAACATCAGAAAAAAATTATTTCCTCCTCTTCTTTGTTTTTTGAATGTCTTTTAATATTAACTAGCAGTTTCCAAGCTCTTGGAAAGAGCTTAGAAAGAGCTATGTAACTGTTTAATCAGGGAGAAATGACGGGGAAACCCAATACATAAAGCAGATGGAGCAGGAGCTCTATCCCAGCAGCTAGGACCAACTCCTCTGGGCACAGCCTACAAGGACAGAGTAAGTTGGGAAACTTTGTTTCCTTCCAATCCAGTGTTTTTCTCCTCCGTAGACTCTGAGGTGGCACTGGATCTTCTTGGTTTGGTAGATGAATTTTGAAGCCCACATGCAACCTTGATATTATCTGGAAAGACAGAAGTATCGAGTTTCTGGTGTCCTCTCCGGAAGGCTCGGTCATTGATCCCCTCGATCAATAGGAAGATGTTCTTCCGTTTCAGAAGGCATTTTTATATTTAGAGTGACTTTTATCTAGACCTTTATGTGGGCCTACTACTCTCAGAGCTAAACGCCTACAAAACCCCACACTAGCTGTGTAGAATTACAGAAGTTTCACAGGAGTAGCAATTTTGAAATTGCAAAGAGCAGCAGATTGGAATTCTTACTTGAACGTTTTTATTCCTCAGATAGTTACTGTTGCTCTCCGATGTCCAAGTGGGAGTGTCCTGAGGAGAAGATTTCTTAAGTCTTGCAGTTCACGGGTGAGGAAATTTGTGTTCTGAGAAATAATTTTTGTTGAATTTGACAATCATTTACTCCCATGCCGTGGGAGAGGTATTACCACTTTCTTGTCTGGGTCCCCCTTCAGGGGTGGGAAAGGGCATTTATATGTACTCGGTGTTGCAGAAATTTGAATAATTAGGCATGCTGGATGTTTTTGAACTGTGATTTCTGCTTTTTTTTTTCCCCACTTTTTTCCCTATTTTTTATTTGTTGTTTTTTTATTAATTACATTTTCACAGCTTGGTAGATACGATGCTCTCAAATCCCTAGGAATCAGCCAGTATTAACTTTGTTCCCATTATCCTTGATGGGTTATTAACTTAAGCCCTATTGCTTATATGTAATTTTCAGATCATTCTTTAGGGTTTATTTCCTTTTGTTCTAATAGATTTTTTTTTTCCTCTCAAAAACAGTCCTGTGTTCATTAGCAATAATTTGGAAAACAGAAAAGTAGAAAGAAAAAAGACTTGATCTGCAGTGTGACACCAAGGCCAACTGCTAATATTTTGGTGTATTTCTACTTTTAAGCACACTTAATTATGCATTGTATTAGAAATATATCTATTTTTTTAAGATTTTATTTATTTGACAGAGAGAGAGCAAGCACAAGTAGTGGGGAGCAGCAGGGAGAGGGAGAAGCAGGCTCCTCGCAGAGCAGGGAGCCCGATGCGGGGCTCGATCCCAGGACCCTGGGATCATGACCTGAGTGGAAGGTGGACGCTTAACGACTGAGCCACCCAGGCGCCCCTAGAAATATATCTAAATAGTTTTCTGTCCTGTTTCTTGCATTTAACCTTCTGTGGCTAGCATGCTATGAACTATAATGGAAAATACTGATGGATTTGACTACATAGAAATGTAAAATTCTATTAAAAAGTTCAGGGGCACCTGGGTGACTCAGTCTGTTAAGCATCTGCCTTCGGCTCATGTCATGATCTCAGGGTCCTGGGATCGAGCCCTGCATCCGGCTCCCTGCTCCACGGGAAGCCTGCTTCTCCCTCTCCCTCCGCCCCTCCCCACCTCTTATGATCTCTCTTTCTCTCTCAAGTAAATAAATAAAATCTTATTAAAAAAAGAAAAAAAAGGGCGCCTGGGTGGCGCAGATGGTTAAGCGTCTGCCTTCGGCTCAGGTCATGATCCCAGAGTCCTTCGGATCGAGTCCCGCATCGGGCTCCCTGCTCAGCGGGGAGTCTGCTTGTCCCTCTGCCTGCCGCTCCCCCTGCTTGTGCACACACTTTCTCTCTATGACAAATAAATAAATAAATAATCTTAAAAAAATAAAATACAGAGGGGCATGTGGGTGGCTCAGTTGGCTAAGCATCCGACTCTTGATTGCAGCTCAGGTCATAAGATGCGATCTCAGGGTCATGAGATCGAGCCCCGAGTTGGGCTCCTCACTGAGTGTGGAGCCTGCTTGGGATTCTCTCTCACCCTCTCCCTCTCCCACCCCCTTGCCCATGCTCTCTCTAAAAAAGTAAACTGACTCTCTTAAGCCTTTTTTTAATCTTTTTTTTTTTTTAATTTATTTTTCAACAGAGAGAGAGTGAGACAGGGAACACAAGCAGGGCGAGTGGGAGAGGGAGAAGCAGGCTTCCTGCTGAACAGGGAGCCCAATGTGGGGCTCGATCCCAGGACCCTGGGATCATTACCTGAGCGGAAGACAGATGCTTAACGACTGAGCCACCCAGGTGCCCTCTCTTAAGCCTTTAAAGATGATCTTATTAGAGACCCCAGAGGCCTGCATGAGATTAGAAGGAAAAGATTTCAGGGCAGGTCACCACTCAGTGAAAGTCAAGCTTCCATATAACTGTAAAGCATCAGATTCTGATGGCCGGGATGCATTAACTGTAAAATGTATTCTTACATAGTTGACCAAATTGAACTACTGATGGTTTTTATTTAGTTTTGGTATGGTTCATTGAGTTGTTTCAGAAAATACGAGTGACCATTTTCAACAGTTCAAGTATTTTAGTTTAATGAATAATGGTATCATCAGCAAAGATGAGGATATTTGACTTCTTTGATTTGTACTTGGAAGACATGCAGGCAGTTTACTAAAGTGTTCCATATCGTTCAAGGAAATGGAAATGAGCATGAATGGAAACAGGCAACAATACAGCTCTGTTTTACATTGTTTCAGATCCTAAGACTTCATCTGCACAGTCCTCTTGAAACAGTGATAGTATGAAACCAACATATATACCTACCAATTTACGGTTAAGTAGACAGTGTGTTCTCTAGGTGGTCCCTCTTTGTAAAGTCCCCAAAAGCTGATGAGCAATCTGCAGAAAATTTTTCACACAGATCAAAAAACCTTACCTGCTTCTTATATAAAGGATGGGATTGAGAGACCTAGTCCTGCAATTGTTTGAAAGTAAAACTAACACAGGGACGCCTGGCAACTGACTGCCTTTGGCTCAGGTCATGTCCTGGAGTCCCAGGATCAAGTCCTGCATCAGGCTCCCTGCTCAGCAGAAGTCTGCTTCTCCCTCTGACCCTCCCCCCTCTCATGCTCTCTGTCTCTCTCAAATAAATAAAAATCTTAAAAATAAATAAGTAAAACACAGAAATAGGAGGGATTGTCTAACTGGCTGTTGGGTCTGTTATTTAGGGAGATAAAAGATTTGAGTCCATTTTAAGGAACATCCTTGCAGACAGGTATGTTGACCACATGATCACAATCTGGGCTCATCTGCATTTGAGAAATAAGCCCAATATCCCTTTTTTCTTGAATCTTCTCTTTACAAAATTATAGTTTCATTTCATTTTGTAAAATGACCATGCTTAATTCACTGTATTGTTAGAGTAGGAAACCATAAATTAAATTTAAAGGGTTAAAAATACATATTTTTCTACCGTCTAGAAATAACCACTGTTAATGTTCTGTTGCATATCTTCCTACATACATTTCTATCCTTTTATATGTATATGTATAAAAAATAGTGTGTCAGGTTATCTTTGGTTTAGTTTGGTTACAACATGTGATCACACTGTCCTCTTTTCTCACTTACCTCAGGACCAGTTTTCCATCCAGGACTGTATACCCAAAGCATTATTTTTTAAGGGCTCTTTACATGGAAGGTGTAGTGCTGGTGAGGGCCTTTGATGCCTGGCAGGGAATTTTTTCTAAATTAACTGGTGGGGAGAGAATGCAGATTGTTGAGCATGGCAGTCTTGTGCTTTAAGGAAGACTCTCCTTCCTTAAAGCTCTAGGAAGCTGCGCTGGGGAGACAGGAATGGAAGTAGAACACATAAAAATCTCTTTTATGTAGTGGAGGAAATAGAGTGGTGGTGGGGAAGTCACTTTCCCGAATTTTTTTTTTTTTTTTTAGTATGACTTGAAATGCCACTAGGAAGTACCTTGGGGATGTAGTGCTTCTAGGAAGGAAGCTTCGCTCCTCCCCAGACTCCCACCCCACTTCCACAAAGTTTTAGGGAAAGGAACCAGTGATGGTGAAGACACAAATTATTTCACCTCTTTTTCTTACCCCAGTCCTTGCCGGTGAGGGTTTTGATGGGAGGGAGGG